GTGGTCCTGTCTCCGCGCTGAGGCAGAGGACACCCAGGCACAGTTGACGTCGGAGACCTTGGATAAAGCACGGGTGTTGCTCGCGTGGCGTAGATGGTGTTGCCACAAATTCCGATCAGACGTTTCCCACACCCCTGCTCTCTTCCATCTAGGAGAACTGATGTTCCTTCTTTTATTCTTTCCAGGCAGGAGTAGGTTAAATAAAGGCTTCCACGTGTACAGCTCTCCTGACGGGTCAGCCAGGACACTGCTGGTCAGGTTGAAATGCTAATGTTTCTACCCCTTTGTACTGAAAATGACTGGCGCTTCCTTCCACCCCAGCCCTCCAGCATCTCAGAGATCTTCCCCTACGTTGTGTCATTGAATTTTATCTCGTTCTATCAAGATTGGTAATAATGCAAGTATCACCCTCATTGTGTAGATTTGGAAATAAAAATACAGAGAATACCTGTGACCTGGGCCTTCGGAGCCCATTCTCTCTGCACATCACAAAAAGCCCGGGAGGGGAATGTGAGGTGGGTGTTGTGCTCCGACGGGTGAGCTCTTGGTGTCCGAGTTTGCTGATTCTTATCACATATTTAGACAGTCAGTCGCCCAAGTAGTAGGTGTTCTGTCAAGGACTGTCCTGGTATATCCTTGGGTAATTTCGGGGAAAGATAGGATTTGCTCATTTGTTCAGAAATCGTTTTGAGTGGTGGGTGTCGGATCCCTGGGAGTTTGAGGACGGAAGTGTTTGGTCTGAACCTTGAGTAACCTAGAGGATAGTTAATGTCAAGGTGAGTGGGACAGAGGGGAGGGGACGCCCAAGTCTGCCTGGGTTGTCAGAGACGTTTCCGAGGCTGTTGTCCCTGAGATTGAGTCCTGAGGGGAGAGGGAATGTATCCAGGAAACCACGTCTCTGGGTAGGAGTCGTCATAACGGCAGCGATGTTATCAGTGAGGCAGCTGATGTTTATTGGATGTTTTTTTCTTCTAAGTGCTTTACACATATTAACTTGTTCATTTCTCCCATTAGCCCTAAGGGATAGGTGCTACAGAGGAGGGAACTGAGGCAGAGAGTGGTTTGTTATCTGGCCAGATTTCAAATCCAGACCGTCTCCACCTCCTTTGTGTGAAAAAATGACCTGTCTCAGGAATGGCAGCACTTGAAATGGTTGGACGTTAGGTCTTGCGGGTACTGGTCAGGGTTTGGGCTTGTCCGGTAGTTAGGGGTCAGCTCATGAAGGGCCTCAGAGGACACGCCAGGGAGTTAGAATTACGTTCTGCACAGTCAGTATCTGTGCGTTTTGGAAACAAGGTCCAGGGCCTACCTTCATCTGAATCACCCGAAGTGCTTTTTAGAAATACTCACTCCCAGGCCCCACTTCACATCCACTAAAGCAGATCCCCTGGCCCCAGAGGTGGCCAGGGCTTGGGCCCCGAGGTGGCCAGGGCTTGGGCCCCGAGGTGGTCAGATGTGAAGAGATCTGCTGCCGTTACTGGCTCTGAATTTCTGGGTGTTCTGTTTGCTGAGTTGAACATTAATGTAAAGAGGCCCTGAGTTCTGCTTTCTATGTATTGGGTTAAATTTGCTTGTAGAAGATCCTACTGAAACTGTGAAAAGAAAAAAAAAGAAGCCGCCTACTTGGATCAGAGGTAGGGAATTTTTGAGGTTTCTGCTTATTTATGGTCAGTAGGAGACGCGTGGATGTAGTTGCGGTTACTTGTGTGGAAAAGTGGAGCAGTCAGCAGGGCTGAAGGCATTGAAATATGGAAACAAGATGTGAAATACCAAAGCCAAGAGGTTAAAACAAGTACCTTTGAAAGCAAGACGAGACCTGAGGGAGGGGGAGTTCAGGAGCCAGGGAAGGAGGGTTTCCCGAAGTCTGCATTTTTAGTATATATATATATTTTTTTTTATTGATTTCAGAGAGAGGAAGGGAGAGGGAGGGAGAGAGAGACACATGGAAACATCAGTGATGAGAGAGTCACTGGTTGGCTGACCATGCAGAGGGAAAGCAGGGCCTCGAGGGAGCCAGATGGTTGGAATAGGACCGAGGGCCAGAAGGCGGGAAAACTGCGTAGGCGCTGGGATGCGGGGGTCGAGGTTCAGGAGTGGAGCCGTTCCGCTCCAAGTCAAGGTCCAGGGGACAGCATGGGCTTGGTGAGCTCCGGGGACAGGGAGATGAGGCCGTGGCCTCCGCAGCCGATCGTTGTGCATGTGGACGTGGTGATGGGAGGGTTCCTGGTGGGGGGAGTGCCCTGGGCGTCCTCGCTCTGCATAAAACACAGATACGTGGTAGCTAATAACAGTGAAGACGGTCTGCCCGGATATTTAGAAAACATTTGGAAGATAACTTGAAGGGACGATGAATGACCTGGGAAGCGCCCAGCATCAAAATAGCAAATGTGAGCGTCCAGCCTTCCCAAACCCGCCCTCAGGCTCCCGGTGCAGGAGCTGGCGTTGGATGTGGGCGTCCGGACAGTCTCCTTGCCCCGTGGGGAGGCGGGTTGTGAGCGCTGGCGTGGGTTTTGTTCCAGGAGGCCCACGTGGGTCTGGGAGCCAGATGGGGCACATCTGTCCTCCGGTCTGAGCTGTCGTCTTGCACATACAGAGCTGAGCCCTGTACCCACAGGCACTGTACCTGGGGCGAAGGACCGCGCTCGCCTTTAGCTACAACATTATTCTTAGTTTCTGCATTTTGCTTTTTCTCAAGTAAATTCTAGAAGTGATCTAAAGTGGGGGAGAAAAGATAGACAAGGATTTGGTTTGTCAGAGACAGCGACTTGGGTTTCAGAGAGTAAGGAAAGGGGTTGTGCACAAGAAAATCCTCGGTTCTACTTGCTCTGCAGGACCCTGGGCTCTGCGGGCAAAAGTGTGGGCTCAGGATCCGGGAGGTCTGAGGTAGAGGTGGCAGGAAGCCACAGATTTGGGGGCCCCCTTATAAAATACAGACACTGAGCCCGGCCGGGCGTGGCTCAGCGGTTGAGCGTTGACCTGGGATCCAGGCAGTCGGGGTTCGATTCCCGGTCAGGGCACATGCCTGGGTTGTGGGCTCCATCAATGACTCTCTCATCATTGATGTTTCTATCTCTCTTTCTCCCTCTCCTTTCTTCTCTCTGAAATCAACAAAGATATATTAAAAAAAAAAAAAAATACAGACACTGAATCATAGCTTCTGAAAGGTCTTCTAAACCTAACATGCTTTCATCTCAGGTCTGGGTTCCCGTCTCTGTGATGCATTTGCTCTCAGCTCTTCTTAGAGGGCATTCTTAGATCTGTGAGCTTGGGCACTAGGTCGAAACTCCATCTTTTGTTAGTTCTTCATAGACAATCCAGGAATAGAATGGTAGTAGAGGGAGTGGTGAGTTCAGATACAAGAATGACCCCATGAATGGCTTAACTGTAACAGTAAACAGACATGTAGACAAAATACAAGCTTGGGTCGATATATTTTTTTAAAATATATCTTTATTGATTTCAGAGAAAGGAAGGGAGAGGGAGAGAGAGAGAGAGAGAGAAGCATCAATGATGAGAGAGTCATTGATCGAGCCCACAACCCAGGCACGTGCCCTGACGGGGGATCGAACCCCAATCGCCTGGATCCTAGGTCGACGCTCAACCGCTGAGCCACGCCCGGCTGGGCGCTTGGGTCGATACTGAGTGTCTGAGGGCTCCTGCAGGATCCCCAGGCTCCTGGCAGTCGAGGGGTAGCTCTGTTGGGACGAAGCTTTTGGAGGAATAAGGGGTGGAAGCAATCGTTTTATTTTTAAAAATGTATCTAGGTTACAGAAATACTTTCTAGATTCTCGTTTTAAACCCGGGATGTTAAGGACCTGGTGCCGTGTCATGTGTAGAGCCTACACCAGACACACATTGACTGACCTGTGCTGAGCGCCCAGCACCTCAGGACACTTGTAACCTCGCAGACTCTGGAATCCTGGGGACATTTTTTCCTGAATCAGAATTCCAGGCTCGCTCCAGGTTTTCCTTCCTTCTCCTGCCCATCGTTTCCTTTCACCCCTTCCCGGCATTTTTCCCCGTGTTAGTGTTTATGATCCACAGCTCCGCCACCCCTCCTCCCTCCCCCACGCCAGCCTGGTGGTTGCTCTGCTTCTGGCCCCACCTGCGAGGTCCTCCAGCTCCATCGTCCGTGTCTGCTGCTGCTGCAGAGTCGCCCCGGGAGCTGGGGAGCCGCAGAGCGAAGCCGATTCGGATTTCACGGCCCCTGTGATTTCCTTCCCTGTGACTTTCCTTCCCTGTGATTTCCCTTCCGTGTGGCGCAGACCTGCTGGATCATCTCGCTGGGCTCTTGCTCCTGTTTCATACTTGAAAAATGAGTGTGATCCTGAACAGAAGATGTCTCCTAATATCCTGAGGACAGTACAGCCATAAGTGAAATCCTCAGTGTGAGCTTCCGTCCCTGATGAATGTGACATGCCTGTTGTGAACCTCAGCAAATCGAGTTCCCCGGAGAGCACTCATCCGTGGGAAGCTTCACTTCTGCAGATTCTCACTGCCCGTCCTGGGAGCCGCCTGACATCACCGGGCACCTGCTTCCCTGTCCCTGGCATCGTCCTGCAGCCTGGCACCTGTTAGGCTGTTAAACCTTCCCAGCAGGCCTGGGAGGCAGTCTGGACTCCCCCGTTTTACTGCAGGGATGGAGCCGAGCGTGCAGAAGTCGTTTTTCTGAGGCCGCCCGGCCAGCGAGGCTCAGAGCCGGGGTCTGACCCTGCTTCTGTGGCTCTCACCGCAGCAGGCTCCCTGACTGGAGAGCGGCGTGGGAGCGTGTGGAGACCTCATCCGGGACCGAGACATTGGTTTGGGTGAAAAATGAAGCCAACTGCTGTTGGCCGAGGCAGTCGCTGTTGGGAAGTAATTCGTCTCAGTGCCGAGTGTGACCTGGCAGCTCCCCAGGCTCCGGTTGCACAGGGCACCGCGAGGGGCCGCCTTGGTCATCGCGGTTCCGTTTCTGCTCAGCACAGTTCGCTGTACAGGGGAAGGGATCGCGGGAACATAGACTCACGTGGGGCCAGCGTGCGTGTTTCACCCAGCGTGTCTGAGGCACCACTGACGTGTTTCCTCCTGCGATTCTTGACATTGGATTCTGGGCCCCGATTCCCCACCCGGGGCTCCGGGCTCCAGGC